TCCTGGTCTTTAAAAAGGTACATTTTATTAAAACAAAAGAAAGAAAATACATTTGGTACTTAGGCTTTTTGCTAGATTTAAAAAAACATTTCCAAGGATTAAGCATCAAGATAGCTCTCTTGAGATCCAGCTTAACGGTTACAAGCAAAACAAAAGCACCTGGTGTTAGCACAGAGGAGTCCACAAGCCATAAAGAAATAAAAGAGATAAACCTAATCGCTTCTTCCTAGACATTTCCTGATCTACTTACATATCTGGGATTTCAAATGAGTAGTTTCTAGGTATGATCTGGTGATTTTTCATACCTGGCCCAAAGCTTTTTACAGCATAGTTCCAGCCCTGTCTCTGCTCTCCGGGAGAATAACACAGACATAAAGGGAAAGTTTTTTCCCAATTTTAAAAAGTTCTAGCCTTCCCATTGGCTCTTTTGGTCAGCTGCCCACTCCCTTCCTTTTACCTATGTAGGGAGACTTTTTAACCCTTTACAGGTAAAGCAAGTAGAGAACAACTACCAAGAGGGATTTAAAGCGAACTGACTGGCTGGCTGGGTGTCCATAAAAAGGGAGCTCCCCCGCCCCCTTCCATTTATATCAGGCACAGTCTCCATTTTTCCCCGTGTAAAATACCTGAAAAAAATACTTTTATTTCCAAAATGTGTCCAAACACTAATCTCCTACAGCATTCGAGAAGTGTAGTAGTACTTCTCTGCAAACATAGCTAAGGGCCTGGTTTAACAGCACTTTCTAGAGGCTTAGTTTGCTCAGGCTAAGCAAGTTGCCACACAAACCTGTATATGCTGTTTGGAGGCATAATTCATCGGAATCGGATAGGGATGAGAACACAAATGTTTGTGCTTTCATTTCTAGGTCTTTCCTCCATTTAGGCTATTGCCGAGAAAAGTTACCCTGATCATAGGAGCAGTGATTCAGGTGAGGTATTTTTACATTTGTTCCACTGTAATTCCTGTTTGAGAAGTCGTTGTAATACATTCTTAGAGAAGTGCTAACTGCTTTGCTTCCATGATACTATCTTAATTTTTTGATGATGATGATGATGGTTATTATTTTGTGGATGTTGATATTTAGCTTGGTATCATAGCTACATTCAGACCAGAACTCCTCTCCAGCACAGAGGCCAGTTGAATATCTTCACACTTGACCACCTTTCTGTTTTAGTATGTAGCCAGAACAATATTTTGATATTTATCTCACTCGAATGAAAAGCCAGCCCTCCCAGGATGAGTTGTGGTGTTCAGTAAACCTGTCACCAATATAAAACTGACAGCTGTGGGCTAAGTACGCAAAGCAAGGCACAGAGCAGTCACACCACCTGCGAGGAATACAGGGAGGCAGAATTGAGCCTTAAATTCCCTGGCCCATTCTGGTGTGTGAGGTAGATGGGGGTCTAGGTGCTGTTGGGGAGTAAAGATGCCCACCCATTTGTCCTCGTGCAGTCTGTGCAAAGAAAGGAAGCTGTGAGTAGCCACCCCCCCCTATTGTGCACCCTGGCCTTGTGCAAGTATTAACTAAAGCAGAGCTGTGATGGATGCAATCTGTTGATGAGCATTGGTCTCTGTGTACCTACAGATTACTTCAGAAGGAGGTCCTCAACCTCAGTCCAACATAATTTTCTCCATCAGTGATGAGAGGATCGCATCAGTGAACAGCACTGGCCTTGTAAGAGGAGAGGCAATTGGAAATGGGACAGTAACTGGAGTGGTTCAAGCTGTGGATGCAGAGACCGGGCAAATTGTGGTGGTGTCTCAGGTATCATCTCATGTGTCACAGAACCAGTTAATGTTGATCTTGGTTTAGTACGTGGACTGTGTCCAAAATCAAAAGTAAAATCTTGTCACAATAACTTCACTAGTTCCATTGGGATAAAGATTTCTCACTCCCCAGATTGTGATTTAGTGCATTCGCTTTGGAACGTGAGAAATTTCTTCAATAGATCCTTAAATTGTGCATCTCACCACCTGAAAGTTCAGTTCTGCACAAAACCCAGGACAATCTCATTACATTTGACATCTATAGGCTTGACTGGTAAAACTGCCGAAAGAATCTGTCCAGGCCAGCCCTGCCACAGTAACAAAGGTTGAGACTGCTGATACCTAAAAGTTACCTCGTGGTTGCCTGGAAGGGTGTTTTTGTTTTTTTTTCTTTTCCCCCTTGAGGTCCGTGGCTTTCTTAGATAACAAAATACTGAAGTATCTCAGTCAGCTGCTAAGTTTGTGGGGAGTGAAGCAAGGCCAGAGTTAGTCCTCTGCTGTAGTCTGTGCCATGCTACCAGGTACAGGCCATGAAACCCAGGAACTGCTCCTGTTGGTGCCAGTAGTGAGGGCAGTTGCTAAGCCTGGAGGCGGGTGCAGGCAGACAGGTAGAGGCCTGCTTCTAAAGCAAAAAAAGTGCAATGTTCTCTAGGTGTTGCACATGAGGCTCATAGCTCTTTGTCTTTGTGTTTGCCTGAGGTAGGGTTTGGGCAACTACTGCACAGTGGAGCCCTTTGGCCTTCATGGGGGGGCACAGGGAGATTCCCAGGTGAGACAAGCAATGGAGACAGATCAGAATTTTGTTAAAGTATTTGCTGTGTCTGTAACTCAGGGACAGCAATGTCTGCCTGTGGCTTCTGCAAGGCAGCAGATTGAACTAGGAAGCCAAATCTCCTATCTTGTGACCATCAGGTCTGGTCCTGTCCCCACAACTGCACTTCAGAGATAAAACTCTGGAAATGACAGGAGATGCAGAGAAGAGAAATCACCAAGTTTCACATCTATCTCCCTCTCATTCTTATTCTTTCCTATTCTCTCTCTTGTTCTCCATTCCACCCTTCTCCCCTTAGTTTTCTTCCTCCTAATTTTCCGTTTTGTGATTGTCTGGCTCCCTTTCTGTCTTGCACTGTTACTCTTCCCATCTGGAATCACTCACTTCTCTTCCTCCTGGAGACCCCATCGTCTCCTTCTTAGTCCTGCTAGTCATCAACTCTGTAGTCTTGAGCAAAGACTATTTATTTTTTAAGTAGTGCTGTTATGGTGCTATGCATGTCACAGATATGTTGGAAGACATGGGCTTTTCCCATGGTAGTTTACAATCTATCTTGCTGTCAAATTGACAATCACACTGAATTATTCCAATGTGTATATTGGTCTTCTGCAATAGACACATCCTCTACAGATTAGACTTCAGTACAGTAGATAAGTAAACACATTCCATATTTTATCTAAGCTGGAATTAAACAGCAATCTCCAGACCACATCCATTTAAAACACCACTCCATTCTCATCAGGGTGCCTTTTAAATTAAGCAACAACTAATATGTATGTGTGACTTTGTTTTTCCCCTTCTGCCATAGTGGTTTTTTCAGTCTGAGAACGTAAATCCTCTCATGTTGTTAGGGCTTTACTCAGCTGGATTTTGATGTGCCCTTTTATGGACAAGCATTCTGTACTGAGTTGACTTTGATTTGACATTGGATTTATAGTGTATTGATTTATATCAAGTCTGTGGTTTCATCTGTTGTGTCAGAGGATTTCAGTTAAACTGCAAGGATTTTTTTTCCCTTCAATTTTTTTCTGCAAATTTGTTTGTTGATTTTTTTAGGGGGAGAATAAAAGAAAACAAACAAGTCATTGCAGATCATTACAGTGTGTGGCAGGAGGGAGGGGGGAGCAGTTGGTTTGTTTTCACACTTCCATTTTAATCAGGATCACACAAACAGAAAAATCTACAAAATCAATCATTTTGATTTCTTATTGCAAAGAGACATTTCTGTCACTCTATCTTTTTAAAAAACCACTGTATTCTTTTAAACTTTAACACTTGGTGCGAGAGGTTTTGACGAGACACATGCCAGTGAAACCCACTTGTTATGGGGAGAAGCATAATCATTGTTTCACTTTGTCACCAACTGCATCATAAAACCAGGTGTTTTAAAGCTTATCTCTGCTTGAAGTCAGCGGTTCCATTCTTTCAGGTAACAAGATCAGTTCCCCGGACAAAGATCCTGGCTGTGCCTGTCAGTGCCCATTGCCTCTCATTTGTTTGTACCGTAGGCTGCTCCAACCCCTGCCTTGCAATTTTGAGGTAACTGGGGTGGATCCAGTGCAGCGGTTCATTACAAAGGCCCTGATCCTGCACTGAGCTTTGTGCCGACAGGAGGCTCTGCTGTGTGAACCTCAGCGTAGCCTACGTTAATCAAGGGCAAGTCTGAAGTCCCTGCTTTGATATGTGTCGTTTGGGAACTTGTCATCTAGCTGATACTAAAAATCTAGTTCACCGAAGTCATTAAATGAAATGGTTTGCCTCTTACAGAGCTTTTTTTCCTTTTAGGATAAAGTGGAAGTCGAAGTCGTACGGCTTGTGGCTGTTAGAATCCGTGCACCCATCACACGAATGAAAACCGGTACACAGGTTAGCTGAATTACCCTTAGAGTTCTTTCTCTCCCACTCTTTTTGTTTGTTTATTTTGATATTTAATTTTCAAAGGAAATGTGCTAATGAGCATTACAAAGAAAAAGTTAATAGTTTAGTTGGAAAGCATTTTCACATCAAGCAACCAAAGTTCTAAGCTTGATCTTGTGGAATAAAACATTAACTCGTGATTTTTTTAATTAATTAAATGGTGATGCAAACCCTCATTCACTTCTTGGTGTTATTCTGGGCATCTTACTATTTAACCTAATCAGACACTATTTGTGCCACAATAAAGCATATGCTCTTACACCAATAGTGGGCAAACTACGGCTCGGGGGCCACATCTGGCCCTCCAGGTGTTTTAATCCGGCCCTCGAGCTCCCGCCAGGAAGCAGGGTCCAGGGCTTGCCGCACTCTGGCGCTCCAGCCAGGGAGTGGGGTCAAGGTCTTGCCCCACTCTGCATGGCTCCCGGAAGCTGCGGCATGTCCCGCCTCTGGTTCCTACGCGTAGGGAGCACACTGGGGGCTCCATGTGCTGCCCCTGCCCCTGCCCCTACCCCAAGCGCTACCCCCGCCTGCGGACAGGGCAGCGCGCAGAGCCGCCTGGCTGCAGCTCCACGTAGGAGCTGGAGGAGGGACATGCCACTGTTTCTGGGAGCTGCTTGAGGTAAGTGCTGCCCAGAGCCTGCCTCCCTGACCCCCTCCCGTGCCTCAGCGCCAACCCTCTGCCCCAGCCCTGATCCCCTCCCGCCCTCCAAACCCCTCGATCCCAGCCTGGAGCACCCTCCTGCACCCCCAACTCCTCAGCCCCACCCCAGAGCCTGCACACTCAGCTGGACCTCCTGCACCCCAGCCGCCAATTTCATGAGCATTCATGGCCCAACATACAATTTCCATACCCAGATTTGGCCCGCGGGCCAAAAAGGTTGCCCACCCCTGTCTTACACTCATGCTTCTTCATCTTTAATGAGAGCTGTTTCTCCTTTAAGACTGTGTTTCTCCAACCACAAGGAGACTGACCTCTTTCAAGAGAGGATCACGCAAATAGGGTGCAAACAAGAAGAAAAGGAATTCTATTTCTGTTCTTGCTTTGGACTTGCTAGAGTCAGAACTCAATGTAGAACCAAAAATTAGCAATCTGCCATGTTGGCATGACCACCAGGGAATCTTTTCATTTGGAGATGGGTTGTCTGGTCTATCCTCCTTTCAGGAAAACATGTAGTATGTCCAGTCTGACTCTAATATTTCAAAATATGGGACCTCAACCAATTGCTTTGAGAGACTATTTCAGTCTTAGTTATGTCACTGTTAGGAAGCTGTTTCAGATATTTAGTCTAAATCATTTCTTAATTTCATCCTATTAAGCCTAGTTACATACTTGTACCAGGCTAAATAATTATTCTTCTTGCTTGGTAGTTCCACCTTTTGGATATTTATTATATGTATATCATGTTTTCACAAACTGGGCAGGGGGGAAGGAGCGGGTTGGCACAAACAGCCAACCAGCACAGAGGAGAGAATGCCTAGTCAAAACAGTAGAGAATGTAAGAATGTGTACGAGGTTTCGGTTGTTAAGGGGGCCACATAGGATGAGTGACTCCTCCATATGACCAGCTGCTGAGGCTTCTGATGAAATGAATCAGCACTTAGTTGTGGTAGGGCCTCTTACAAAACGGAGTGGTTTAAAGTTTTTTGATGCAAAAGGATATGTCACTGTGAGAGTTCTATACATGATATCACTTTAAAGGTGCATATGGTAACCCAATATTTTAAAAAGTATTATTTCTTGAATAATAAACCTCTTCAGTTGGCTTGGGCATTTTGTGTTGAGTTACTGTGTTCTTTCCTTACTTGTATAACTAATTTCTGTCCTAAAGTTGTACCTTTTTCAAGCAAAGCTCCATTTGTCTGCTTTCAGATGCCAGTTTATGTGATGGGCATCACCAGTAATCAGACCCCTTTCTCATTTGGCAATGCATTGCCAGGGTTAACGTTTCACTGGTCTGTCACCAAGAGAGATATCCTGGACGTCAAGACAAGACACAATGAGGTAAAATCTACTGTGGGCCCAGAAATGGATACGGGGGTGTGGGTGTGGGTGTGTGTGTCAGTGTCATTTTTTTGTGATGCTTAAATTTCCCCAGGATGGGAATTGAGGAGATCCGCTGCTTCCATTTGCTCAAAAGGAGGGTACCCACATCAGGCACAAAGATGGAATTTCTTTCTTGTCAACTCCAAGTATTGAACACAGTTAATGAGTATTTCCTATTTCAGGCTTCTCTTCAGCTTCCAGCAAAATATAATTTTGCTATGGATGTTTATGGCAGAGCAAAGGGAAGAACAGGACTGAAGGTCATTGTGAAAGCCCTTGATCCTACTGCTGAACAGTTTCACAGCCTGGCAGGAGAGCTGTCAGATGAAATCCAAATTCAGGTAAAATGTTCTGGTCAGCTTGTCTCATTTTAAACAAGAAAATACAGTATTAATCAATATTGCAGGTCTAAATTAAATACTTTAGAGCAAGGAATGCCGATGTAAAGATGCAATTCCTGTCTAAGCCCCCACTCTAGATATTGGTGCATACGTGGCATCTCCCACTACTAAGAGAGAAGTTACTCATCTATTAATTTGGGGTTAAGTGTTGGGCATTCCTTCCCTGATGGTGTCTGAATGTAATTTTGTTGAATTTTATTTTTAGATGGGGCAGTACTGGAAGTTGGCTGTGCTATTAAGGAAAAGTAGCCTTTAACATGCTATGGAAGTGACTCTTTCAAACTACATTATCAGTGGCCCCATTAAGATACAGTATAGATTAATTTTGTGTAGTGGTGATGCACAATCACTGCAAGCCATATAATGGTTTCTTCGGGTCTTCAGTGCCATTTTACCAGTGTGGGCTGATCTCAGTAACACGGATTTAGCAGAGTTTTCTTGATAGTAACCTAGATCCATGTCATGCCTACTAGATCCACTAAGAGAAAGAATTTCACCTCCACCACCTTGGGGTCCACAAAGGTGGCGTTTGGGGGACAAAATCCAGCTCTCAGTGGGCCAATGTGGGGAGAGCATCTCCACCCCCTGGATTTTCCCACAGGGAGGAATGATCTGAGCAATACATATTAAAAACAACACGATGGAAATTTCAGTGTTATCTTTTGAAACAGTGAGTAAGGTCACTGTTGCTGTGAGTCGAGAATAAATGTGGGGAGAATCCAGTGAAGAAATGTTAGAAAAGTATACCATTTAGTCAAATGTCTAGGTTCACTGTGAAGAGAAATGAGCATTATTCCAGAAATGAGACACCCAGCATTTACCCCCCTCCTCACAAGCTGTTATGTTGAAAAGCCAGCTGTGCCTGGCTTTTGACGAGAGAGACTGAATCTTCCCACGTTCTAAAATGTAAAGACCACTGTTTCCTATTATTAAAAATCATATTTTAAGTTTCTTTAAAATTGCAGCCTTTGCATTTTCACCGTTGCTCCTAAGTGACAATACTTCAAATGTGCACAGTATATGGTTACAGATAAGTTACGAACAGCAACAATTTGTGAATATTTTTTTTCTTTTCAGTTTATAGCAGGAAAACATTTCAACACTGTTTTTGCAAACATGCATGTGAGAAACATTACCTTTTAAGTAGGCCCATTAAAGCCACATGATTAAAATTATTCACATGCATAAGTGATTGCAGGATTCCACCCTTATTACAGAAGTATGTTTTACATAATATTAAAGCACAAGGTGGTGCAAGATTTAACACAATCTTCTTTATCTACCAGTTATTATGCTTCTCATTCTTAAATCTTGGCATATATTGTGGATGGTGGGCTAGCATTGTTTGCCTATGGGTTTAGTGATTAATATGTCACCATAATCAAATTAAAAATCTCAGAGGTGGGTGTAGAAAGCTATTAATATTTTAATACTGAGCTTTTTTTTTAAAAAAAGGTCATTTGAGGTCTTGACTCTAGTGCAGTGTCAGACTTATTATTGAAGTGATGGTATTGATAATAGAGTTGGAAGCTTCATGAGTCAATTGTAGTTTCTTAGCTGGATTCTTGATATTCATTGTTAGCAGCACCCTGAAATTCAAATGGTGCATTTCAAAGTCTTTAAATTGCAAACCAGTTGAATGGAAAAATAAAAAATTGCTCCTCTCTTTAGAATGAATGACTATTCTGTACAGTGGTTTAAATTTTTATTCTTTAACGCCACAAACTGGGTATAGTGAACACTACAAAGTATCATTCAAAAACGAGCATGTTGGCAACTTCCCTCTTTAGTGATTCTTTTTTTCCCCTTGCCTGTGTAAGGGCTAAATGCTGCTAACCTTAATCAAGCAGGAAGACCCAACCCTGTGAAGTGCCTCCCACTTCCTCAGAAATGCTGAGCACTCTCAGCTTCCATCACTTTTAATGAGAGCTGGGGGCTCTCCGGAGGTGCTCAGGGTCATGTGGCTGCAAGTACTACTGATTAGGATACATATCCTACTCTGTTCTGTAAATACATTCACCTTTTTGTCTAATGATAAAGGTTTGAGGCTCACTGTCCCTTGCATAATACCAGCAGTTTTCACACACTGTGATCGTGGACCCCATAGGATTTGCTGGTGCTCTCCAGAGAGTTGGCTGGTGACTTGGTGCTGGCTCCTTCTCCTTGTTCCAGCTACTAAATCACATGAAAAAATCATTAAAAAGGCAGCAGAGACTTCCCCCAGGACCAGCAGGGGTCTCAGGTCACCTCTACCCCTCCCCCCTTGCCCTCCCAAGCAGTCCTGCCCCTCTGCCCAAGTTTTAGTCACAGCGGGTATTTTTAGTAAGTCATGGACAGGTCACAGGCCTTTGAATTTTTGTTATCCATGACTATCCATGACTTTTACTAAAAATACCCATGACTAAAACATAGCCTTATGTATAATATACATATGCATATGCGTATACAATAAACTTATGAATGAATTGCTCCACATCTACAGACTCTCTAGCATGACATTATATCCTTGTACTGAGAAACAATTGGGAAATACAACATATATGCTTACAGAAGTGCATTTTTTTACAGGAATAACAGGGACAAAATATACTATGTAGCATAAATCAGAACCACCATATGTGATATTTAATCTTGCATTTCTTTGATTTTTCCACTACTTCATAGAATAGAAATATTTAAAAACTGCTTTAAATTTTAATTTTTCAAAAGATTTTTAACACCTTATTGCAAAGTCCTTCTAATGAATTCAATCTAAAACATAAAGCTGGGGAAAACACAGAGGCAGACAATGCTCTGTGCAGAGATCTAATCCATCCACAATAAATTGAGAAGCCATACTATTTCTCATCATCTACATCCACTTCAAAGGGAAACAGAGAGCTTATGTATTAAACAGATTAAAAAGGTGATTTTTATTTTCATTGCAATTTGTTCTGTTTGCCTTGATAACATTTTTTTCTTCAACTGTACATCTTTTCAGTATACCATACATAGAATCATAGAAGTCCTAGAAATGAAGGACTGGAAGGTACCTTGAGAGATCATTTAGTCCAGCCTCCCATGTTAGGCAGGACCAAGTAAAGCTAGACCATCCCTGACAGTTGTCTGTTCAAACTGTTCTTAAAAATCTCCAGTGATGGGAATTCCACAACCTTCCTTGGAAGTCTATTCCAGAAATCAAATATCCTTCTAATTAGACAGTTTTTCCTAATATCTAACCTAAATCGCTGTTACTGCAGAATAAGCCAGTTACTTCTTGTCCTACATTTGGTGACATGGAGAACAATTGATCACAGTCCTCTTTGTAACAGACCATAACACACATGAGGACTATTATCAGGTCCCCCGGTCTTCTTTCATTAAGACCAAACATGCTAGGTTGTTTTTTTTAAACATTTCCTTAGAAGTCACATTTTCTAAACCTTTTGTCACTTCTGTTGCTGTCATCTGGGCTGCCTCACATTTATTCACATCATTCCTAAACTAGTGCACAACTTGTTAATCCTGTATATTAAAATATAGTTAAGGCATTATCACTATGAAGCTCAAAACAGTTGTTCTTATGTCCCTATTTTGTTTTTCCTTTTCTTAATTTTGTTTTGGAAGAGGAAGAATAAATAGAAGTAAATGATCCTCAGTAGCTAGCTGCTTGTAGAAATAAACACGGCTAGTTTTTATTTTCCAGGTATTTGATAAACTTCTTCTAGTTACTCCACAAGTAGATGCGGAGCAGATCTTAATGTCACCTAACTCATTTATTAAACTTCAAACAAACAGGTAAGTGGTCATTTTTTACAGTGGGCCTATGTGTCAGCAATTTATTGTAGCTGTAAAGTATAATTCTTGATGTTTAAAATAATATTTTTTTGTCTGTTTCATTTAAAAAAAAAAAAGCCTCCCTGTACATTCTTATATTGAAGGATTTATCTGATGATTAGTAGCCCTTTATCTCTACATTTGTTTTCTATCAAATCTTGTACTTGTCTTTCCTTGGTTAGAAAGCTATATCTACACAGTCATATAGGTCTGAGAACTTTTAGGTCTTGGTTTTAAGAGGTGCTGGGAATCTGTAGCTGACTTTAACTTGAGTTGCGGGTACTCGGCACTTCTGAAAACCAGCTCCTTGATGTTCTTCTGACTGAGAGGCTGGGACTAGATTGTGAGATCAGAAAGTGTTTTACCTAAAGATCACAACTTAAATCCACTGATTGTTGGTAATGGTTTTTATTTACTAAACTTTCATGTCACCATGGTAAAATCTGCATTTTGGTTCTTAAAAATAATAAATATTGATTTTTGTCTCTTGAGATTTTTTACATGTCACAGTTACTTAAAATGATTGTATTTTGAGAAGTAGCAGTGTAAAAAATGGCATGTCATTCCAGATGTATTATTTCTTAATGATTTCCAGCTCTAGTTTGTACAGTTTACAACTAAGAAAAGACTATTTTTTTTTTGTCCCAGCCAGGCTTGATCTGCAAGTCTGGCTCATGTAACATCACTAGTAACTCTGGTCTTGGTTACACATCTGTAACTCTGTCTTCAATAGGATTACAGTGCTGTAACTGGGGTGGGGAAGACAGCAGGACAGGATTTTGCCCTTCATTTGGAACTTAGTTAATAGCTCTCATGATGGCTTGTGAGTCCAAAAAGAAACCTGCTTTCACTCCCAATTGCTAACACTGGCTAGACAGAGCTATGGGGATTGAAAAAAGCAGAAACATTTTTCCTAACAAAGTCAGGGAACAGATCTGCTGAATAAGGAGGTGCCATTTTTATATTGTAACTTTTCAAAGAATTGTCCTTTAAACTTTTATTTCAGGTTTGATATAGTTTCTCAGTGGCTGAAAATTTCAAGCCCAGTGCTAGAAAGGGGCAGCTACTTTCCACAGGGGATTTACCCAGGGGATCAGGACAAATGGTGTTTGCACCACTGCTTTCTCCAGGGGAGGAAAGCTTTAAAATTTGACCATGTCTCCATTGGCTGCATCATTCTTTGACTGCCTGAGGCATGATGCACTGAATTCATTCATGTGTCTTAACAGTGAATACATTAATTAATCAAAATCCAGTACTGGTGCTGTAAACACCATGCAATAAAGGATCTCCTCCACCCCACCCCAAAAAACCCCCAGTAGAGCTAACATACATAAACAGTCCCATGAGTTTAATAGTAATCCTTGTTTTCCCTCCCCCAACTTCCCTCTATTACTCTCATATTATCAGCAGTGGTGTTATTTCTAACACCTAGCGTATTGTTTCTAAACCTCATATCCTTGCTCATACTGAATAGTACCTTACTCAACACATAGCACTATTGGAGATGATGAGACTCCTCATGACGTAAAGTGAGTAAGAGTATCAGAATCTGCCATTTAGCCTATCAATTATCAGGGGCAAAGACCATGTGTCTTGTTCTGTAAATGGCCTAGCACACTTGGTATGGTCAGTAAGTTAAAATAATCTTTATGGCTCCCTGGCCTCTCCTCTTAAGGCTTTTTGTGGTTACTCTGAGAAGCTGAGGGCCCAACCAATGGAGAATAATTTGCGTATTCCTTTTCATTGCACATCTCCCACAATGGTCAGACCATTTCCGCTATCCTGGGATATTCCTGTCAGTTCAGGGCAACTGCACATGTATTCTTCCCTCATGGTCCCCCAAAGGAATCTTCTCTAGGCTCCCGACTCCTCAGCCTTCATCTCTTTTGGGTAGAGACCCGCATCTTTCTCCCTCCTGACCGGGAGTTTTCCAGACTCCACTGTTCCTTCCTTACACAGGGATATTCCCAGCAAGCGAAACTGCCTAACCAGGCCAGCATCTGTGCTTGGCTTTGAACAACGAAATTGACCACAGTTAAACGTTACCACACAGCTCTTTCTAAGCAAGCATATTTATTCTTGAGGCAAAAGCACTACAGAGTAGACATATAAAAACAATAGAAGAACCTACAGACATGCTAAAAGCTTATCACAGGTCATCCATCAGTTTTAGGGGGCCGTACTAGATCAAGTCTTTCCAACTCTTCTGCAAGTATCGAGGCCCGCCCCCTTGGACAGAAAGTTCTGACTGTTGACTGGATCAGAAAGAAGGCTTTGAGTCAGTTTAAACTCAGGCTGTTTATCCAAAAGTCCTTTTATCTGTTGGCCTCAGGAGAATCCAGTTTGAACTAGTATATGTAAGCCTCTCTGGGAAGTGATACCTCGGGGCAGCTGGGGAGGGAGATATAACAACTAGGCTGATTCCCCTTAATCACCACTCAGAGCCTCAGTTCCTAGAGGAGCTGTGATAGTCCTTTTGCATGAAGAATGAAATAATCATACATAAACCATTCATTTAAAACAATGGACCCTAAAGATGCTCTGTGGGGTTGCAATATCTGTCACATCTCCCCCAAAGAGGTTACATACAATCCCAGCCCACAATAACACATAAACTAAGGCCTTTCAGGGAGAGTGCAGGAAGTTGCCATATCTGTCACAATACCACCAGAAACAGTTTATCCCGTGGTATAATTAAGCCTGGCACCTTCACTATTTGACCAGCCAGGAAGGGCCATCAGGATACAGTTTCCATGTTGGGTTCCACAGAAGGAAAATGCTGTCTTCTCAGCTGAATGGAAAAATGCATGGGGGCGGGGAGAGAGAAGAGAAGGTTGTTTATATGTATGGTAGAACATGTGTAAGTAGTTCTTTAAAATATCCAGTGAGTCAGAATGCCTGCTAATTAGAGTTTATATGTTTGCTCACTTTACTTATTAATATGCTAATACCATGGAGTGTTTTATTCCAAAAATTAACCTTGTGTACAAACAGTTTCCAGGAAACTGATGAGAACTACTTAATTATGTCCCTGTCTTTATCTTTAATACCGGTGTTGACCCTGGTAGACTAATCTGCTACTGAATACTGTTGACAGAAAATGTCTGTGAAAGCCACATGCTGTACCCTTATACATTAATATTCTGAATCCAGTTCACATCAGTGAATGATGACACTGTAAGGTAGTGGACAGCAAGTGGATTTTAATATATGCCCAAGCATAGATAAGACTTTTTCCAGGAAGGCTTGAATCAAGATCTGAACACTTGAATCTTAGATTAGATTACAGCGCTTTGTGGCTTTATAGCAAAAACACGGTAAACGCACATATCAGATAGCACTAGTTTATGCTTGGTTTAAATAAATCTGGTTGTAAATGTAGATTTTTTAAATATTTTTTTAAAGCTTTCTGTTTTTGCTTTATCAAGGGACAGAGTAGCTTCCCTGAGTTACCGTGTCCTGGATGGTCCCAATAAAGTTCCCGTTGTACAGATTGATGAGAGAGGCTTTCTGAACTCAGGGTCCTTGATAGGATCATCAACAATTGAAATAATTTCCCAGGAGCTGTTTGGAGTCAACCAGACCATTGTAGTTGCCGTTAAGGTAGTATTTTTCTCTTTATCCTTCACTAGGGTCAGAACACAATTAAGGCTAATGCTGTTTCATCCGTTAAAAACATACTCTCCTATGACACCAACTGGGTAAAGTTAATTTCACCTTTAAATTCTGCAAAGTATAAAATGCACAGATTAATGGACAGTTCAGTGTTTTTTTTAACAAGGTGTTGGAGAACCAGTTTGGTGGTGATAATGAAGTTTTAAAATGTGCATCTCCTCACATCGGAGAATTCTCAGCCATAGCACAGTTCACAAAAAAATGTGCCCGTGGATTGCATGTGCACTTGTAAGCTAGAAAAATATTGTCCTAAAAAAAATCTCTTCAGAAATGTTTTCTTTTAGAAGTGTTTGATACTCTGTAGCTACTGACATCTATCATAGGTGGTTCATTTCTCAAGGAGGGGAAAGGGATAAAGCCAGCTAGAGTGATGAATACAATGTCAGCTACAAGGTGACTAACAGTGGTGCTTGAATTTTCAGCATGTCTGTGTTGTGCGGAAATCTCATTTTCTTTCTTCTGCTTCCAAGTAGTGTAGCTCTTAACAGACTCTTTCTACAGGGAATCAAAACAGGAGAGTGACTACCCTCAGGTTCAAATTTAGCTGCTGTCCAATGTACTTAGTAAGCTGGGCAAGAAGCATGTCCAACGTTGGCACATATTGCTTGTAGTGCTAAAGTTCTCTGAAGTGCCTTCACTTCAGAGAAGGCACAAAAGTTATAGTAGGAACCAGCAGCGAAGGGATTAAATTGTCACCCTGACTAATGCTCTTTCATATGATTACCATTATTAAATTGCATGGACTTCTGCTTGGGTATAATCATGCATGTTTCTGTTTCAGCACTTTGGGCACTGATGGCTCATCTGTCTGTCCTGCACTGTCTAAACCAAAGTAATACCGAAGAGTATATGAATACTTTCCACATCCCTCAGGCCATAGCTTGCTTTCCCCTCCCTAGTACTTAGCCTAGACTCTGCTGGGTCCTGATCCAGTGTTCGTTATAACCACGGAAAAGACTCCTGTTGATTTGCTTGGGAGCTGGATCAGATACCCTGACCGGCATGTTGGGGTGGTGGAGCTACGCTCTTTCCATTCATTCATTCATTCATTCATTCATTCTATCCATTCATGGAACCAGCAAACTGCAGGATTGAGGATTTAAGACTGTAAGCTCTTTGGGGTAGGGGCTGTCTTTTTATTTCACATCCATACAGCTTCTGCCGTAACCTGTCTACTTATCTTAGGTACTTATCTGGCCCTGTTGCCATCTGAACACCTCATATCTTGACTGTCTTTATCCTCACAATGTCCCTATGAGGTAGAAAAATTATATTAGCCCCATTTTACAAATGGAGAATTGAGGCACAGAGAAACTAGGTGACTTGTCCAAGTTCACACAGGGAGGCAGAGCAGGAAACGAACCAGGTTTTCTGAGTCACAGTAAGCTAGTCCTCTAATCACTGGGCCTTCCTTCCTCTATCTCGCTGTATATACCAATGTGAGTATTTTGGCAGTCTTTGCTCAGGAGAGGCTCTATTACTGAAACAGTGGGAGGCAATGAAAGTAAGGAGTGATATACTATACCAGAGCTTTGTGGGGAGGTAAGCTCAGCACTTGCTCACATGCCGTCTGGCTCTCGTCAACCCAAACATCAGAACATTAATGCTAGAAATATTCAGAAAGCTGAGATGTTCTTAAAAAATAAATAGCTGCTTTCATCAATATTAGATTTAGCAGTTGTCTCTTGCAGACCCTGTTTTGAGACTGTTAAGTAAAACAGGCTTGAAAGTCTGTCATGGAAAATGGCATTTTTGTTATCTTGTTACATCAGTTAGTTGGGCAGATGGCCATATGCACTGATATTTTAGCTTATTACATCAGCTAGTGGAGCAGACAGCTGTACATACTGATATTTTAGCCACAGTTTTCAGACTCACCGAAGATGCAGTTTCCTTGAGGCCAAAGCCGTCCTTTCCTTTTCAAGTTTTGACATGTACATTTTGAGATAAAATGTAAAACTCTGTTATCTGAGCCTCTTGGCTCAGAAGAAAGGTACCCTTGAGGGGGGCATTTAAAGTACTGTTCTTTATACAGTTGAAGCTTTTTTTTCTTCCCTTCCTTTATCCTTCCATTATTTATTTTCCAAAAGCTATATCAGAGAAAACACACATTGTCCCTTTACTTTTGATAGCTAGCCTAGATAAGTCAAGCAGGTTTTCCTTTTATTAATTAATAATGGAAATACATTTCCACAACCAAACATTTGTGAATTCATCATCGTAAGAACGATTCCATGCAGGTAAGTGTTGCTGCAAAAATTGTCTTTATTTTTGCACAAACGCTTATTTTTTTAAACAGCTTGAAGGATGGGAGCAGGGATTGCAAACCCATTCTGATTTTCTTGGGCAGGGAGCCATTAAAGCAGCAGAATGCAGCTTGCTGACCAATCTGGGCTTAACAGATGCAAGGTGGGCCCAATCAGTCAAGCCATAGGAGAGTTTATTTCAGAGTGGCCTGGCCTCTTCTGCAACATGGGCATTCCCTTCGAATGTCCTGGCTGAGATTCTGTGCTGTGCCTCTTAGAGATGCAATACAGAACTCGCAGCCCAGTGGAAGTTATGTAGCTAAAGTGGCTTAGTCCTGGGCAACTCCTGCAGCACCAATATAATAGAGACAGCCCAGGGGAGCGGTCTGAATTGCAGCAGCCTCTCCCTGGCTGCCCATAATCTCCACAGTGCTGGAGCCACACCCCTCTATAGCAGGTCTTGAGAGGTGGCCATTGGAGAGCAGCCTTACAGCTGTCTTCCACTGTTCCTGCACTGGGGGAAATCTTCCCCCTGCCAGATCTTGGGCTTTTAGAGTCCCTTTATGCCACTCCAGGCCTTTTGCCTGGTGTAGAGATACTGGAGCAGATGTTAGAATCTCATCCCTTGTTCATATGTACCTCATGCACCACTCACCCAGGGGCTGATATTTGGGGATGTATAATCTTTGTATATCCACCTTTGCTGGGGAGAAGCCTGCAGGTTATTAGTTGAGTTGTGTATCTGTTGAATTTTTCTGGTTTTGTTTTACAAGATAAACACATCATCTCTGTAATTTTGTGCATTTGTTACATGTAATTATTGCTTCTCAGCTCCTGGTGCTATACGAGCAGGAGATACTTTGCAAGGACTTTATGAAACATAATATGCCCTGTGTGAAATTAAAAGCTCCATCTCTCAATACTGTTGTAATGTCCAGACTAAAAATATGTGTGGTTCATAAAGAACTCTATACGTATCTGTGTCTGAAAATTATTTAAATAGCTTTATTTAATAGGCACCCCACAGTCAAGGGAAAAAAGCACTTTACAGAATATCATCTTTTATTAATGTCACACAGGTGTCTCCTGTTTCCTACCTGAGAATCTCTATTAGTCCTGTTCTGCACACTCAAAACAAAGAGGCTCTGTTGGCTCTACCATTGGGTGTGACATTAACCTTCACAGTCCATTTCCATGATAACTCTGGAGATACCTTCCATTCGCACAATTCTGTGCTCAACCTTGCAACCAACAGGTAAGTGTCTACATCAGAGAATTATAGGGGCACCTAAGAAATGTAAAAGACATTGTATTATACCAGTCATGGTAACTGCCCCAGTTAAAAAAAAAAAGGGAGGGATAAAGCTATGTCAGCAAGAGTGCGGCTGTACTTCTGGTGGCAGGCTTGGGATCATTGATTGACTCCTGAAATGTGTACAGCCTTCAGAGATGGCAGAAAGAAGGGCACCAGTTAGTCAACAGTAGTGACCTGACAAAATGAAGTCATGCCTAGGCAGAGGGCCTAGGAACAGGGGGTGTATGCGTGTATATGCTTCCAATGATTCTGAATCATTAAGTTGTACACATTGTTGGCTTATGTAACAAGTTGATCTTATTAGTGTTGGCCTTACCCTTCCTCTCCTTCCTCCCTCCTGCTGTTTGTCACACTCTTTGCAGCTTGTCTTAAACTTAGGGAATTTGGAGTGGGGACTGTGTCTTCAGATGTGTTTGTACAGTCTTTAGCACAGTGGGGATGCGATCCTGACTGGGGCTTTTGGGCACCACCAGGATACAATAAAAAAATCATATTTGGTCAGTGGGATGTTCATCAAATTCCCCAACGATTACTGCACAAAGTTTGTCTTCCACAGAATTCCTTGTGTAAATACTTGGGTGAGAGTCATGAGAAAAAGAAAGATATGGGTTTTTTTAAGCTATCTTGTCTTTCCCCCACTCATATAGATATATCTTTGTATTAGTATGGTCAGGAGTGTGCAGTGTTGGTAAGAGTGCATATCTCAGTAGCAGTTTGAAGACACTGACCTAGTAGAGTTAAGAAATTATGGCTGACCAGCTGCATTTAGTGTTAGACCCATTCATAGGGTTTTTATTTTATTGCTTCTTTCCTCTGTGAAAAAGTGAAAGAAGAGGCTTGCCTCTCTTTAAGAGCTTCTTGAAATGCAAGAAAATGATATATTAGGTCATAAGGACCTCATGACTTCCTCTTCTGGACTCTCAGACTCATAGACTTTAAGGTCAGAAGGGACCATCGTGACCATCTAGTCTGACCACCTGCACATTGCAGGCCACAGAACCTCACCCACTCCTGAAATAGACCTTTAACCTCCGCCTGAGTTACTGAAGTCCTCAGGTCATGGTTTAAAGACTGCAAGTTACAGAAAATTCACCATTTACACTAGTTTAAACCTGCAGGTGACCCGTGCCCCATGTTACAGAGTGCAGTGGTTTGGATTCAGATTTTCTTAAATGACAACTAAATACATCATTTGTATACTTTTGCTCCTTTTTGTTAATCTCAGTTAATAACCATCCCAAAAAAGGAGTCAGGCAAAGTGAGATTTTTTTTAAAAAATTGAATAAATACCAGACAGGAGGAGAGTAAAGGGAATAGCAGAATTTTCTGAAAACCAAAGCATATTTTTTTCCTTTTATTTACAGAGATGACTTTGTGCAGATTGGGAAAGGAACCACGAACAATACATTTGTAATTCGAACTGTAAATGTAGGCTTGACCTTGCTTATGGTTTGGGATACAGAGCACAGTGGAATTGCAGATTATGTCCCTCTTCCTGTGCAACATGCCATTTTTCCTGAGCTCAGAGACATGGTAGTAGGTGATGTCATCTGTTTTAGTACTACACTGATAAATCAAGAAGGTAAGAAACACTAGCTGTTTAAATGCATTTCAATGCTGGCTCTGAATTACCGTGGAAACTTTGTAGTACTATGCATTGTGACAGTCTAGGGAAACCAAATACATTATTTATGATGATGATCAGAATCAAATGACACTTGCTATTCTTTTGAACACCACAAATAAGTTTGATCAACTGCAGCTTTCAAAAATTTCACTTGTGTTGAGCTTTTGGGCATCAAACATCTGCAGTTTCCAATTCAATTGTTCTTAAAATATAAAACATTCTGGAAAAGGCTTAATTTTTTTTTAACTAACAGGGATAATAATACAAAGACACAGTCTTGAGGCCTTTACTCAATCCTCTAATTAGTTCTTTGGCCTTAATGGGATTTTTGCAAGAGTGGAACTTCTGCTGGTATAACTGAGAGCAGAATGTGGCTCTGAGGCAAGGACCTCAGAATCTAGCCCCCACACATCGGATAGCATAGCTAATAATATGTGCGCGCGCGCACACACACACTCTCACTCTCTCTCTCTCTCTCTCTCTGGTGGGAATTGGTGTATATAATGGTGGGTACCTATAGATACATACTCCAGTTTGAAAACAAACATGGCTAGCATATTGCAACCCTGTTAAGCAGTTAATTTACAAATAGTCTTTTCTCATAGGCTTGTCAGCAGTCTGGAGCTCTTCACTGAGCAGTGTTCTTCAGGTTGACCCAAGGACAGGTGTAGCTGTGGCAAGGGATTCAGGAGTTGTCACTGTTTATTATGAGATTCCTGGACTACTTAAAACTTACAGGGAGGTGAGAGACTTTTAACTTCCACTAGTGCTGTTGAGGTTTGTTTGCTGTCTGTTAGGAACATATTTCTACCTACAGTCCTTTTTTTTTTTTTTAAGCAACAAAATTTTAAGCTTCTGTTACTGTTACTTATTTAATTTTTTTTCTTGGAAATGTATAAATTTGTTCCTATATCTGTACTGTTCATCTTGAGCAGAAGATGAATTGATGGGGAAAATATTTGGCGTACTTCCAAAGCATCATGGTTATAGTTTGTGTTAAAGAAGGCAATTAAACTTAATAGTTTGAGCCTGTACTATTTTTATATGGCACACTTCATGTCTTTGCTTGGCTAAGTTGGTTTCAGATGCTGAGCAACTTTTGATTAAGGCTCTGCTTTTCTGAGTGAAGTTTCACTGTTTGAATGAGATACCAACCAGAATTTTTTTCGTATGGTAACATATGTACTGTACATCAGCCAGTCAGTATTACTGAATTTAAAGGGAGTTGCATTTATTTGATCTTCAGTGAAATAGTTCTGTCTACGCTAAAGTCATAATATCAGCAGACATAAGAGCACCAGACATTATTTTTAATTAAATTAAATACAGCTTTTTTTGTGCCTGTTTTTTTGTGACTGATTTATGAGGGATTAATAGAAATAGTAAAATGTTTTTCTAACTTAAGTTGCCTAAAAAAGCAACTTCTAAAATTAGAGAAATGCAGCATTTACTTTAAAAAAAAAAAATAGCATCTTTTGTCTGGTGTGTGTGTGAGAGAGAGGAGTATCAGTTTTTGACTTACTAAAATCCATTCCTGCCTTAATTTGTGTTCATTTAACAGTCTTCTGTAGCAGGATTCTTCGGTGTCTTTTTTCAGGTATTGATCAGTATTCCTCAAAGGACTATAGCAATGCATGTATCTGGAGTGAAAACAAACTTACAAGGAGTTGCAGCTTCAAAAGTTATAGTTGCAACTGGGGACAGAAGCAAAAATTTGAAAGGTACTGTGCTGAATCTTCTCCTGCTTGCCTGGTCATTAATTAACTGCACATGCATGATGCACTGACTCTCTTCTAGCATCTAAGAGTGTAGCAAGAAAGGACTCTGCACTAGTGCTTCACCACTGCCTCGCAAGTTATGTGGGAGTCGTCATGGTCATGTTGTAAGTTTGTAGGGACTTACTGGCTTTTTCCTTTCCCTGCCAAAATCTCAGAGTGAGAAGACCATGGGCATGCTCCTGAGTCACCACACCCAATGATGGGGAAATGGACAGCCAGTGAGAGCTTTCAAGCAGCTGGGCTAGAACCAGGAGGGAGGGGAGAAAAAGCCCAACCTTTCCCTCCCAGTAGTCATGAAAGATGGGGAGGCAAGAGCTGAGACTCCCTATCGCTCTCAGCAACTGCGCTATGTGAGTGAGATGTTCACAACACTGTGTGGTGAATTGAGCCAGGAGGTTGCATACTGTGAAGATACTGAATTGCAGTGAGGCATCATCATATAGTGATATACCATTATGATGCCAGTTTTGCCACATACTATCAGGAAGTCACAATGTGATTCTTTTGTGGCCAAGGAGCTGTCCAGCTGTTAATGTGGGAGTTCTGCTGTCCTATGCTGTGAGCTCTTCATAATCATCGTAAGGCCTAAGGGTATGACTATACTAAAAAAACCCAAAAGCCTGTGGCAATGAGTCTCAGAACCCTGGCTGGGTTTCAGAGCCGAAGCAGGAATGTCTACGTGGCTATTTTTAGCTCTGTAGTGTAAGCCCCGCTCTGAGACTCACTGCTGTGGCGGTTTTTCTCAGTGTAGATGTACTCTTAGTGCTTTGAGCCACAATACTGTCACAACCACAAGGAACTCAGAACAAGGTTCTGATATGTTACATTGGAAAAAGAGATGAACATATTTTTGAACTAATATAAGCATCTCTAAAACACTTTCATACAAATGACTGATTTGTAATACGTGTACAGGAATCATTCTGGAATCTCATTTTTTTGAGGGTGGTAGAGGAGTTTGAACCATTGTTTAAGTATGGGTTTTAAAATATTTTCAGTTAACGAACTCAAAATAGCTCAGTGAATTTTCATCAACTTTCCCAAGAGAATTAACCTTTGGGTTTCCAAAAAGGAAAATAGTTGAGAAAGTTGATCAGTAGAGCTGATTTAGAAAATGTTCACATTTTGGGGATAAAAATGGGGAGAATTTCAATGGTTTTAGCAAAAAAGAATAATAATAAAAATAATAATCCCCCTACTTTTTAACCAGCTGTTTGAGGGCTGTTTAAAATTTTGAATTTCCAAATTAAATAAATGGGTGAGGTTTCAGAAATAAAACTAGTGTAATTTTCCCCTTTGCTCGCATTAAATGAAGGAAAAAAGATGTACAAGGAAAGTGTACTTGAACCTGACTCTCACATTAATTGTCATAGGCCATTAAAATATAGTCTGCTTGTATTTAGTGCTCATGACCCGCACCAGAGTCCGGGCCCTGCAGGCTAACTCCCTCTTTCTGCAGGATAGATACAGCACAGGCAGAGTCTATTCAAGCCTTCTACACATTATCTCAACTTTGTGTGGGAGGAACCATTTTCAGAGTGAGAGAACAAATTAGTCTCCAGGCCTGTTCAGTTCTTGATATCTCTGCTGAGATTGCCAGCAAGAGCATCATTTTGTAACATTTTTTGTGATCTAGACACTTTTCTGCTAGCACATGGAATGATGTTATCACTTAACTCACACAGGCCATGTCAGAGGCCTTTCAGTCAGTGCTGACAGACTGGATTTGAATGGGAAACTTAGTGAAGAAAGGCTCTGTATCTAATTACCGTTTCCTTGAGCCATCCAATTCGCAGCTTTGCCCTTACGAAAATAAAACAAATTTTAAAATCACTCAGGTTTCTTCTACTTAAATACTGAAGGTTGCAGCTTCTCTTCAGATGCAGACAGAGAGAATATTTTAGGATACTCCGGTCAGATTTTTAACTGAGTACCAATTGGCACAATTGCAAAAACCCAATTTTCAGCTTTAATGGGAATGTTGTCATTTGAAAATTTGTTCTTCTGTATTTAAACAGAGAAAACAGAAATGGTTGTAAAGTTTGTTTTGTCTTGATAAAGGTCAAATCTGACCCAAACCGTCATTTTTCTGTGATATATCTGTAAGCAAAGCAAGTATTTGTTTTCAGAAGTTCCAAGCTTGAAATTTGTTTTTTAAATTGGGCTTTTGTTTTTCATGCAATGGACATGGAGTAGTACGGAACCTCTGTTAACACTTTTGTATAGAGCTCTTTTGGAACTACTTTGATTCAATATTTTTGTGAATTATGGATACTTTCATGATTTTTGAAACCAAAGAGATTAAGAAAAGCAGACACATTTATTGCTGATGAAAAGGAGCTAGTAGTCAACCAACAGCTTGATTAGTTCGCTGTTATAATGTAATTGACTTTTTAAAATAATACTTTAGCATTAAGCATGCTTACGCTCACCATTACTGTGATTGACAATTGCACCAAAAATATTTGTTTTTTAGAACCACTTTACAGGTGAAGTTAAATATCATATTTTGTCTTCTGATTAATAAGCCATACTTGATTTAATCACAGTGCCTTTTTGTTAATATTGAACAGTCTTAACATTCAGCACTTGTTGAAATGATATTTTTAGTATATTTTTGTGTGAACTATTGGCCTGTTCAAATCCAATAATAAATTACATAATTTTTCCAACTACTGAAAAATACCTTTTAGTGGGGCTTTCAGAGTCTGCCTAACTTATGAGGTACAAGCTATAGAAAAAAAGTATAAATGAGCTGAAATCTATGGTTCAATATGACTCACTGACTGACAAAAAATTCTTTTTTACTTATCTAAACTACCATTATAAAACTTTCAGTTATACATACTCTTTCAGGCTACATGTGAGACAAGACAACTGCATTACTTGTTGTAAGACATTTTTATAGTATGTCTGAGATTATAATGAGGATGACAGAATGACTTGAAATTTCCTCTCAGACATGATGTTGAGCCATCCTTTTGTATTAGCAAAGTTCACCTTTTATCTTACACGCCTATTTTTCCCCCCTTAGGGGACTGTTCACCTGTTCAGATTGAAGCCATTAAAGAACTACAACCAGAGTCCAATATCGGCTGCCACCTTCGTTTTAATAAGGATGCATTTGATTTCCCAGCACATGATATTTTTACAGCAGAACCTGGATTTGATGCAGTTTCAGGTAAGATGGGGAAAGAAGCAGAGATTGCAAATGTGGAGCTACAGTGTTACTACAATTTGTTCTAACATTCCTTGTGCATCCAGAACTCCTGTTGAAGCCAGTGGGAGTCTTGAACGCACAAGGCATTAGGGAGTGGGTCTCAAGCGTAACTTAGAGTTTTTAATGTTAGTTTGTTACTGATGTGTAGTTGTCTGACATTTGTATAATCTCTGATACTGTTTGCTCCATACAGCAGTCAAGATCTTAATGTTTTCAAACAAGTCCTGAACTAGTGGGGGTTCATTAATTTCCACATGTCCTCCTATCTATATAGTGCTGTTTTGAGAAATCTTATATGATACAACCCTTTGTGATTTAATGATGCACTTGGTAGAATTTTGGGCTGCATCATTATTCCAGACTTTAATGCTAAGAAACCACTACCTAGATCACTTCCGGAAAGGTTGAAAGTACAAATTAAGGTCCTGATTCTGCAAACCCATATGAATAACTTCACACATACGAGTCTTTCCATTGCAACTTGAAATGGATGGGAAGCGAGTGCCATCTGTGGAACGGAGACATAATGTGCTCATGCTGATCCACTTCACAAAGCTATTGGGCTGCCATATTTTGCTCTAGCTGAATTGTATAAAGGTAGCCTCAGCTAGCTTGCATTGCAGTGGCCCAGTCCGGATGTGGAAAAGGCAGATGACCGTGTCAGGGCCTGCTTCCCTTAGGAAAGGCTTCAGTTTCTTAGCTAACTGTAGATGACAAAACAAAAACAAAAACAAAAAGTACAAGCCACCTCTGCTTCCTGAGAATGCGTGAGCACTCAGGTGTCAAGAAATACCCTGACATTGGGAACCACTTCAGCAATGGAAGGGCCTAATCCATCAACAGGTGAAACAATTACAATTCACATCAGTTCCTCTAGCTGCTTCCCCTGCCAGGCACCAATGCCTTTATCTTTGTCATAACTATAAAGGGAAGGGTAACAGCCCTCCTGTGTACAATACTATTAAATCCCTCCTGGCCAGAGACTCCAAAATCCTTTTACCTGTAAAGGGTTAAGAAGCTCAGGTAACCTGGCTGACATCTGACTCAAAGGACCAATAAGGGGACAAGATACTTTCAAATCTTGGTGGGGGGAAGGGTTTTGTTTGTGCTCTTTGTTTTGAGGGTTGTTCACTCTTGGGACTGAGAGGGACCAGACATCAATCCAGGCTCTCCAAATCTTTCTGAACAAGTCTCTCATATTTCAAACTTGTAAGTACACAGCCAGGCAAGGCATGTTAGTTTTTATCTTTGTTTTCTCAACTTGTAAATGTACCTTTTGCTAGAGTGTTTATCTCTGTTTGCTGTAACTTTGAACCTAAGGCTAGAGGGGATTCCTCTGGGCTCTTTAAGTTTGATTACCCTGTAAAGTTATTTTTCCTCCTGATTTTACAGAGATGATTTTTACCTTTTTCTTTAATTAAAAGCCTTCTTTTTAAGAACCTGATTAATTTTTTCCTTGTTTTTAGATCCAAGGGGGTTGGATCTGTATTCACCAGGGAATTGGTGAAGAGTCTCTCAAGGCTACCCAGGGAAGGGAATTAGCATTTTGGAAGTGGTGGCAGTGGACCAGATCTAAGCTGGTAGTTAAGCTTAGAAGTTTTCATGCAGGCCCCCACATTTGTACCCTAAAGTTCAAAGTGGGGAAGCAGCCTTGACAGTCTTCTATCTAGATTCAGTCTCAGATTCATAGAGTTTATGCTCAGATGGGACCATTAAATCACTTAGTCCGACCTGTATAGCACAGGCCATTAAATTTCACCCAGATAACCCTGTACTGAGCCCAATAATGTGTGTTGGGCGAAAGCTGATCTCAGTCTGTTCACTGTCTCTGTCTTGTGCAGGTATTGCAGTATCCTCAACCCCAAGGATTCAAAAATCACAAGAATGACTTAAAAATTGTATGTTTTTTTTAACCTAATGCATTTGACGTTCTTCTTTATTTGGTTTGTGAACATTTTAGGGATTCATGTTTTCAGGTTTTTCCTTACAACCGTGAGGGCTAGAAACTTTTTTATTTTAATGAAAGCTAATATTCTCCTCTGATCCCATGACATCAGGAGGTGGGGCTTTAAGACCAAAACATTGTGAGACTTGCAATAAAATCATGAGAGTTGGCAACACTGGGAGAGCAGGGGAGAAGTGTACATGAGTCACAATATGATTTTTAAAAAGCACAGATTATGTGGAGAGAGCATTCTTATAATAGTCCGGTAGACCTGTCGCTCTGGATAATGGAGGTTACCTTTGTTGCACAGTGCTGCAGAAAGTATGCCATCTGGGGTAAGATGTGTGCAGTTTCCTTATACAGAAAAAAGGGGCATGTATTTATCCTTGCTTCAGATCTGTGCTTAAACACATGGTCAGCCAAACTTTCTGAGGTGCGAGAGTGTGGTTACTCCCTCCCGCTCAAATTCTTCTTGAGAAAAGCATCTGTCTTGTGATATAGAAAACGAGTGGTGGAGAAAATGGCAAGGAAACTGATGTGTATGAGAAAATCAGCTTGTACTGATAATATCCACTCAGCTCACTTTGGGATTCTTTTTTTATTTATTTTATTAATCCTTAGTAATCTAATGGGATGACTATTAAGAGGTTGGAGGAATCACTGAATATCTGAGCAGTAATGGAGCAGTGCGCAATAAGGCAATATGCAGGATGGGTTTCTAACGAACAAATCATACCAGTCAAAGTTGATGATGATGGTTGTTGGCTAGATGGATGAAGAGAACAGAGTGTATGTGTTATATTTGGATTGGAATAACGCATTTGATCCAGTGTTCTCAGAAATCATGCACTCAAAATTTGGTTCAAACCAGCTGGGCACATGAACAATTTTACATGAAGAAAGTCTTCTAGTTCAGTATCCCTGGGAATTATTGGTAGGCCCCATCCTAGGGGGCCCATTTGTCCACTGCACTTTCATGCCTTTTTCCACTCTTGGGACACCCTGTCCATTGTGATTTGTCAGGGCACCACCTTCTCCTTGTTCCGTTCCCCTCTAAAGTCTCCCTTCTTCCACAGGAACGTTCTTGGGTGTGAAGAGAAAAACCATAAAGAAACACAAGTAAATTAACAAGGGTTGAACTGTTTTCATCTTTATAGGACACTATACCTGTTCCATCACAATGCACAGACTTACTGACAAGCAGCTAAAGCATCTGAGCATAAGCAAAACTGCTCTCCTAGTCACAGCTTCAGTCCAGGGCAGCCATTTCTCTGGAGAGCAGATCAGCGCTGAAGTGCCGTTCAATCCAGGGTTTTATGCTGATCAGACTGAAATTCTCTTAAGTAACCATTACACGAGTTCTGACGTGAAAATATTTGGAGCCACTGAAATTCTTGACAAACTGGAGGTGAGTATGTCACGACAAATTCTCATTACATATTTAAGGCTGTATTGAGCTGTTGGGTGCATTTGTGAGCAAGGGGACAGTGTGTAAACTTCATCACCCTGGGAGTACTTCCAGGAGGTAATGTGACTCTCACATCCCTCTGATGCATAATGCCCTCCATGCTTTCCCCTTGCTCCAGGGGAGGAGTCATTTATGGCTGGCTTATACCCATAGTAAATTACAACACACACACACCCCTACTGGCTCAGCAGTGCTGGCCAGTTTGTCATGGTGCCTGGTGCCTGCCTGGTCTGAGGAATGTTTGCCCATCTGTGTGGCCAGGCCCAGGGCCCAGGTAGCCTATGCAAGTATGTAAGGAGGGGCTCTTGCTTTCCCATGTGTGGAGGTGCCATGCAAGTCACAGAGTAGCCCATAGTGTAAAATATACATGGCACTTTACAAAAATATAACAACAGCACACAGTCAGGGTATGTGTACGATGATAGCCCCAGGAGGTGGGGAGTGAATTAATGAGGTGTGGCTCAGGAGAAATCAAGCAGCTATAATTGGCAGGATTTTTCAGCAGGGTAAAACCTTTCTCGGCATAAATTGGAACAAATGGACCTGAGCAAAACACAGGAGGGAGATTTCCCAATCTGAGGTTCACCCAGCACCCCCAGCAGCTCTGCTAGCATGGAGGCTTCCCAGAGCCATTCTCTCTTTCCAGCAGTCCTGCTCCTAAATCTTCCCCTAGGCACCTATGCAAGTGTAGGTGGAATTTAACCCCCTATGTACTAGGGAGCAGTTAGTTCCCCTATACCCTGTCACAATCAGCTGTAACCTGTTGCCCATTGTTATACGTGTGTGGATTGTTAGATCCATTCTTAGTAGCTATTGTGAGAGGTCCAAACAGACTTGGTTTTGGATAAAAATAAAGTGTCATGTTTGCTAGTTTAACATCTAGCCAGAGACCATGTGCTGCACTTTCTGTGGACTGACTCAATGCTTTGCCATCTCTAACTGCTATGATTCTCTGGTTTTATGTACTGATACATGCATGACCTTTAAAATTCAAAAATGTCTTCTGACAGTACCTGCTGTGGTGAGAACTGCAGATGTTTATAATCTCTACAGAGGGGAAAGATTAAAACACTAGTTTTTGTAATTGTGCACATACAGTTGTGTGTATTTTCTCCAGCTAAGTAAAGCATATTTGATATATTTTGGGATATCTAGTATTTGATTGTTTTTCCCCTCACCCCAGGGACTAAATGCAGAAACTCATCATGAAGTTTGAGATCTGATGTTAAAATAATAATAACCTGTGTTCATCAACCTTGCTAAGATTTTTTTTTAAAGCGTTTTAGTATTTGACTCGCTGTATTGACGTTACCCGTCAGTAGAAAGATTAATTTGTAGAAGGATAGGAGGATCTTTTAAGTACTGTAGCCAACATTAACATTCTTGTGTCTTAGA